TCTGGTATCAGATAATCCTACAAACAAACACAAATCCATCCATGTGACATACATGTAATATTGCTAACGTAATTGGGTGAGTTCCTATGAAAATGTGACGTACATGTGAGGTAAAAAAATTATGACAGGAAATGTGAAGTAAAGGCGAAATACAAAAAAAAAAAGACAGGAATTTTCCCCTTGCACTAAAATCCTGGCACTACTCTGCAAATAAACGTTTCTTCTGATTGTTAATTTGAATTCACCGACACATAAAATTACACTTGTAATCATGCAACGCACTCATCCTGATATAGACCTGTCTACTTCCCTGCTGGGTGATTGGAGAAGTCAAAATGAACAAATAATGTGGACGAAAATCCAGGAAGTTAGCAGTGCCATTATGTTTCCTGTGGTTAAAGAGAAGAAGGGACTGTCATGGACAAAACTCCATCAAATGAAACCTCACCTCTCTTTTGAAATACAGGCACAGACCGGGTCATAAAAAAAGCCCATGTGTGTAACTGGATTGAAGTAATGCTAATCAACGTGCGCCCCTGCTGGTCTTTGTCTTTGCTTCAAAGCGTTAATAACACATTTTTCTTTTTGTCTGCTGATAAGCAGGAGAGAATACAATTGACAATTTAATGCCACTTCATGTGTTTGGAAGCCTTTGTAATAAAGCAAAGATAGTCATACAGACATTTTAAACTCTCGCTTGTTTAAAATGAAAGAAAAAAGTCACTTTCTTACAACTCTGAAGATGAGAAAAGATACATAACTGACAACAAAAGAAAATGTTATTAAACATCCAAGCTAATCATAATGATACTAATAGTAATTATGAAGCAGTGACAGTTATGATCATTTATTTTATATTTACCTTTGATTGAAATGAATTGATTTATCATGAAAATTAGTTTTTATAATATTATGAGATGAAAGGAAAAAAATATGAGTTATGAAAACCTGGAGGAAGTAAGAATTTTCCTCTGTTTCTATGTAAAACATTATGTAACCAATATGAGTTGAGCTAAAAGTTGTCCATAGTTACCTGACCTTAACATAGTATGCTGCTAATATGGATGTTGAAAATACTGCTCTGGAGGTTCAGCAGCAAAACATCTCGTAACAACAACAACAACAACAACAAAATTCCCAATTAGTTTGTATTTAAAGCATTTTTAAAGCTCACAGAGCTTCTTTGACAAGGACGACTGTTGTTCTGGTTAAAGCCACTGAACTCTAAAAGGTAATTTTAGCTGGCAGAGGACCGCTTTCTGCCTCATGAGTTTATTTTGTGTGTGTGACTGGTATTTTAACACGTTATTTTTGAATCAGACTAATATGTTAAACACCAGAGGCACCCAGCAAATCCCAGTTTCTCCAAGGTAAACTTTGTGTCTGTGTGTGTGTGTTTGTAAGTGGAGCCTGGTAGGTTGAATGCGACAAACGTAATGGCTCTGGTAAAATATCAAATAATGGCTGTATGGTGATGCGGAAAAAAACCTTGAACTAACCAAACTAATACTTTTATGTTCTCCTGAACTAAAAACTTGATGAAATACTAATAAAATCTTGCTATTCTTTAAAGGCGCTAATGTAATCAGCTCTGGAAAAAATGTAATGCTAAAAGCTAACTATGAATTATAGAAACTTTAAGACTTAACCGTTTGCTTCTCTCTGACTCGCTACGCTCGTCTTATATTTTATTACAACCGAATTCACTTTGCAGTCTTTGCATGTACATGTTGTCATGTCCCTGTTGTCAGACAACAGAACATACAGGGGGAAAAAATGAACATACTCAACATATTTACCAAGCAGTTACTCTGAACTGAAATCTCGATTCCTGCAATTTCAGTGTTATCTGACAAAATTTGCATTCACATAAGTTACAAACAAAAACTGTACTGAGATTTTGGTTGTACTTAAGTAATTAACAGAGTCTCATTCAGGTCTGTATCAATATGGGTGTAGTTTACTGAAATCAAGCTCAAACCCAGAGGTACAAAGGTATGGTTTAAAAAACGATTTGGATCGAAACTTGAAATACACATAATGGCAACACACATTACAAGTAGTATGTCTTAAAGTGGTCAAATGTTAGAAAAAGCGGACCTTTAAAGGACAGCTGACCAAAAAAACCCCAAACAAACTAATATAGTGATTTTACGTGTTGTGGATCATGAGAGGGTGATGAAGAGTAGGGGCAGTGCATCACCTCTTGATAGTGACTTATGCAATTCCCTTGGACTTGGTCTCCAGTGGTCTCCCACAGTCCCAGTTCCTGACTAACATTATTAGTGTGCTATTAGCTTTGTACGGTGCCAAACACTCCAGTCTCTATGTGTGTGGCATTGAGCTGTAGTCTTTCTTGTAGTCAAAGCTCAGGCTGGTCTATCTGGTCTTACAGTCCTAGTGTAGTGCTGTGTTATCCAGGAGCTGGTGCTTTGGTGTAATTTACAATGCCCTACTACGCCCTAGGCTGTGCTCATGTATTAACTCATGTGCCTCGTGTGATTCGTGTGTGTTGCTATAATTCCAGTCCAGATGAGTACCTGCTGTTAGTAGTCCCACTACTTCAATTTGTACTGCCACGCGCTTATGGAGTGGTGTTCTTCTTTTTCATCCACCAGGTGTAGATCGTGCTAAGTCCTGGTGCCGTCCAGCTCTTCATTCCTCCAACAACAACTCATTGAGGAATGTCTGCCTTTGTGATGCTGACTGGCTCTTGCTCTAGGTGCTGGTGTTATGTGCACCTTTTTCTCCCAGATATTCTTCTGGGAGAACATCTTCAGCTCTGGTAGGTCTGTCCTAGTTGTTATCCTAGTCTTTCCTATTATTCTCTTGCAACTAAGAGTGCATCCTGGTAGCATCCTTGGAAAAGGCCACTCATATTTTTCCTCCTGCGTCTCTGGTCAGAGCTGTAACATTCGTTTGGCAGTTTCTAGAGCCTCATCTTATACTTTTCTCATGATGCCTTTCTACACTTCACTTAACCAACTAATATCCTTTGAGCTTTTCTGATTTTAAATTCCAGCCTTCTTCTCCACAAAGGGCTTTCTCTACACGCATTCTTGATCATATACCCAAGTCCTTCTAGGATTACTGAGGCAGGGGTATCTAATAGCTCTGTGATACGAGTAGTGTGGATGGTGAGCAGAGCAGTGGTCACATCTGCAATAATCTCCTCTGATAGGACTTTGTCAGTGAACTGGGGGAGTTGTGCCCTTGGTTTGGTGGCTAACTTGAGTCTGGCCACAATCAGTAGTTTCCTCTGTTACTGCAGGTATTATCAGGTTCAGTTACACTGTTCTCTTCTATCAGAGTTGGCTTATTATGTTCATACAGCTCACTATTCTTCCCATTGTACTGTAGACTCTGGATCTCCAGCTTTAATGGTAGCTAGCTGTCCTCTACTGATGTTATAACATTGAGCTACCAGGTGTTTCTTGATCCGTGTGGATGCTGGTCATCTACTCATCTATAGTCCTGCATGATATCATATTATATCTATCTATATCTCTGTCTTTCTATCTATATCTATATGTGTGTGCGTGTGTACATGCGTGTGTGTTTGTGTGTGTGTGTGTGTGCATGTGTGTATGTGTACAAAAACACTACACTATTTGGCTTCAATATAGCAAATGGATCTTTAACCAAATTAATGTCCCATATCTGGCTTAGTGATCGTCAATCAACTTTGTTTTTCATTAAAGACTATTTAAGAAATACAGCTTAAGGCACATCTCACTGTGTTTCTTATTGCATCATATTTCACACACTGCATTGCTGTCATGTGCATTGTGCACATGTGGAAAAGTGGAAATGTATCTCGTGTTTGCAGAGAATATAAGTGTGTTTTTGTTTGATGTGATCCAAAGTACAGGCTGAATTCTCTTTTTGTGTAAACAGTGTTTAGCCACGCCTTGGACCCAACGCATGACAATGAAACAGACTTGATGAAGCCAGGCCAAAGATTTCGCTGTCAACGCAATGTTTTTTCACCATTGTTGGACACCTCTATTCAGGCATAATTGGATCCATTATAAAAGACACGAGCACTTAGGTTTCTTTCAGAGCTGCATGGGTGAGGGGAAGGGAGAGGAATCAAGTGTGATGTTTTTGTATGGAAGTGTGATTGCATTTCTGTATCCCTGCGTGTGTCTTTGTGTGGGTGGGTAAGTGGGTCGATGTGAATGAAAATTAGCCGCGTGCATGTTTACATGTTTAATTGCCTTTGATTTGCAGAAGGTTAATATTAATTTTTCTGTTTTGTATTGTGTTATGTCTATTTGCATATGTGCACACATTGTGCTGACACACATCACTTTACATCTGTGCATGAATGAGCATTACAGTTATATGGGATCACTTTTCATTAGGCTGCAGTTGCAGCTATTGACTGCTTCCACTGAAATTAATTTCATATAGAAAAAAAATGTCAATGTTCTCAACCGCGTGTACTTGTAAATTGATTCAGAGGTACTGTAGACTGTGGAGGGGTGTGTGAATTTGTGTCTGTTGAAGGAAGAGATGCAGATTTGAATGCATCTGCATGTGCCAATGCCACTGTTTTAGATTGCCACTAGCTTTATTAAAGGGTTTATTAGAGTGTTTCAAAGGGGCTTCACCGCAAAATTAGTTTTGAGAGGCAAACCTGCTGCTTCGGGACTAATTGAGCTTCATTACCTCAATAAATACAAGTCAGTAGAATGCACATCTTAAGAATGGTGATTGTGGCAAGCTTTATCAAGCAGAACATCAGTGTGAAACTGGTTAGCTATTGCATTATTTCTCAAAAGCATTCCTCTGAATAGGTTTGACAGCATCTTCTAGTCACAAATTATTCACCTGTTTTTTCAAACACATATTTTGATGGCTTTCATTATAAAAGTTACAATCATTCCCTTCTTTGCAACACTGATTTTAATCAAATTCTCACGTGATACTAAACCTGCGCAACACACTGATAGACACAGACAAGGACATACATATACGCACACGTATACACAAACCTCAGCTTTGATCTTGTTGTCTCCAAAACAGAGATGCTGTAGGTAGGCTGCAGCATTGGACTGCACCGATGGGAACTGGTGCTGTAACATCTGGATCACCTCTGGCAACTCTGGATCTCTCCACCCAAACTCTCTGCAGAATGACATACAGAGACACTTTTATTCCTTCAGCAGGTTAACAAAGTTTCTCACTGAAATGAAAATATTACCTAAAAGTAGTTCAATAAAATCAGAGACTTTTTTTCAGCCACAGATATTCAACCATGCATGTCAACGTTAATGCGGGATATAAAGAGAAAGTCAGATGGATCCAAAGGCAGAGCATGAATGAAAGAGAGATTTAAATGTCAAAATCCACTCTGCTCTGTTTTCAGTACAAGAAAACTCACTTCTAATGGGAGAAGGCTTTAGAAACTAAGCAACACAGTGGAACAAAAATGACACAGATCACCTGCTGAATGCCTAATTTGCTGAAATATCGTCATTTCCATTCAACACAAGTGCAGGAAATGAGAGAAAGTAAAGATAAGGCCACAAAGCTAAGCACGTGGCAATCATGAAAACTTTAATAAATGGATCAAAATCAACCACAAATGGTATTAGCATTTTAGCGTAATAAAAGACAAGCTGGATTTCCTTAGAATAACAGTAAATCTTTGAAACCTTTTGAGTTATTTCAGATGGATGATTTGGAGCATTGTCATAGCAACCATGTGTGACAATTTTTTGAGAGGTAACCAGCAAATGTGAAGATGCTAGGGATTATCATTTTGAAGGTCAAGCTGAAGGGCAGCAGCTTATTTGTACATTTGTATGGATGCGACAAAATACGAGTTAATACAAATAAAGAGGATTTCGGCAGAAGCATGAAGCGATGCATGCAGAGAAATTTTTAGAAAGCTTATAAAAAGAATCAAAAAGTGTTGCTAACTGCACAGGACAGCATTTCTGTTGCCTGCTTGCTGTCTGCAGTTTCAGTTATTTCCTATACTTTCCACCACTGGAAGTTTATACTCTCATGAACACACTAGACAAAGTGAAATAAATGTTTTGTCCCTCGGTAATACACAGGAAATGGTCTCCTTTATTGTATTATCCCCCTCTGATAATTGTTTTGCTATGGCCCCCCAAATGAGGAAATTATGAGTGTGCGTGAAAGTGTGGGCGACTGGATATGTCTACGCTCGTGCACGAGCATGTGCCGCCTCAATCCACCGTAATGTTTTCTCCAATAATCACTTTGTAAACTGTTTCTCTGTTGCTTCTTTCTCTCCGTGCTTTCAGAAAATTGCCAACTCTCAATGCGATCTGACGAAAACCTATGTTGAAATTTTGCGGCTCCCATCGATCATGATGTTTGAGGATTGATTTTGTTGTTTCTGGCTTCATGCTTACTGTTCTGTGGCAAACTGTGTCTCACCGTAATCCCCATCAAGCTATCGTGCAAACTGCTGATTTATTGTGCCTCCTAGCTCAGCCGACCCAAACATGAAAATGTGGTAAATATGGGACAATTGACCTGCCTGGGGAGTTAAACCTGATGGGGTAGAAGATTGTGTGTGCATCCATAGTTTTTGCTGCAGAAAATGAAGCCTCGACACAGCGCTCATCTCTGTCGGATCAAGTGAATGCACTCTATGAAACATCTGTGGAAAGCAGAGCATTCACAGGGAGTAAACATGGCTCTCAAAGATAAAGCAAGCTCCAGCATGGACGGCTGTTTATCTGCCGAATGATAAGTGCTCATTCAGCTGGAAAGCAGGACTGAAGGAGGGAGGTAGAGGACAGATAGAGAGAAGGAGGAAGAGGGAGGGATTCCCAAGGCATTTAGGGGATTTAGGAGGAGAGACCCCCAAACAACGTTCCTTAAATCACACAGTGAGATACCATCAGGGCAGTTTGTTTATGTGTGTAAGGGTGTGTGGCAAGATTAAGATAGCATCATGATGTGTGTTTATGAGGCCCTTGTTGCTTCCATGTCTGTTTGTGTGCATGAGTGTAATGGCAAGTGCATATATATTCATTTGTGTCTATACTTCTGTGTACTGACGCCATATATATGTATCTGACTATATGCTATGTCACTGTATGTGTATGAGAGTGTGTGTCATCCATCCCCCTACAGCCTCCCAGTTCTGTCAGTGTAGTTAATAGAAAGCAGAGTGATCTGCTGATAAGATAAGCATCATGGCTCGACCATTAATTAAAAATCCCTGGTAGGGAGAGACAGTGAGAGGAACAGAGCAGAAGGGAGAAGGATAGAGAAGCGAAACCGCGAGGGAGGATAAGGAGTGAAAGTTAGGGGGGGAAACACTGAGCATTTGGGGGCAACTGTGAGTACAACAAGCGAGAGGAAGCTGACAGGAAAGGAAAAATAGGAAAAAAGAAAAAAGATGGAGAAAGAGGAAAACAACAGATGAGATGCCAGTCATGTCAACACAGGTGCTAATGAGAGCCATAGCCCTGGTAGATGCACCACAAGGCAACGTGCCAATGATGTGAAACAGCAGGATGGAAACAGCAGCCTGGAAAAGTAAAAACGGATCAAAGACGCGGTACCAACATAACTGCAAAAGCCACATTAAATACCCACACAGCTTTTAAGGAATCTGCACCACGATATGTTGCCACTTATGTGCCATATTCTTTATGTTACGTTTTTATTATTTTTTTGCTTTGTGTGGTAATAAATGCCACACAGAACAATTTGTGGACTTTGCTCTTTTATACCCAGGCTGTGTGTTTTTGATATGACACACCAGTGGGTAGGGGAATAAATTAGGTGTCACTGCTGCAGCACAGAGTTTCATGTTCCTGGTTAGAGAGGTTACTTTGCCATTTCTTGAGGCATGCGGGGGTGTGTTGCAGTGAAATATTTTCAATGGAATCACTAGGTATGGCAGGAGAGCAGTATGACATGACTATGAAAAAGGCAGGTGGCAAGGGAAGGAAGGGCGGAGGCAGAGACAGAGTGATATAACTGGGACAAAGGAAAAGACTGCTGTGTGATGGTAGGGCTTTGATGCACACACACATACACGAACATGCACAGACACACACACACACGCACATACATTTGAGGGAGGCAAAGTGTGATAGAAGAGTACAACACATGAAAATACAAGGACTATCAAAGGATTTCTTTCTTTTTTTTTAAACCTCTCTTCATCTCTCTCTCTTTTCATGTCTAGGTCTCATGAGACAGTTGAACTTCAGTCTGAAATCCCATCATGGCCATTGATAGACAGTATTCACACACACACACACACACACACACACACACACACACACACACACACACACACACACACACACACACACACACACACACACACACACAC